GGGAAGCTAGTCCGCGGCGGCGGCGAAGGCAGCGTGGAGCGAGAACGAGGCTGCTGGCGCGAAGCCAACAAGAGTATCCCAGGACGCTGGGTGGGCGGAGCGACACGCCGGAAGTGGGGGCGGGGCGACGTAGGTGGCGGGATCGAGCCGGCGGGCGGGGCACCGCCTTCCCGCTGCTGCGATTTGCGCGTCCGCAAGCGAATTCCAAGCTCCGAGTAGCCCCCAGGACAGTGCCCGGCACCAGACGGTCCCAGTGAACGTGGGCTACGGTATTGTCCGGAATGCGTCTTATATTCTAATAAGCTTTCTTAATGTGGCATTCATGGCTGTTCGTGGTAAAACATTTGTAAGTGCAAATAACTAAAGACCATGCGTTTCTCATAACCGAAGTTAACTTCCAATCTTACACCTTTTTGAAGAAATGGAATAATACTACATATGAGCTTTTTGTACACGGTTATTTTAACAAGATTTCCGTAAATGTCACCAATAAACATTTTTGCAACTTTTTATTTAGCTTGCCCTAGGGCGCTGATTCTGGGCCTTGGCGGGGAGCCTTTAAAAGTCGAGCTCCTGAACCCAGCGCCCAGGTATTAAAGAACGAATATCAAAAGCACCTGCCCAGGTGACTCTAGTGTGCATTCCAGGCTGGGAACCACTGAGTGGCATGTCCCTGACTTGCCCGGTTCCTGCCTGGACCTACAAAAACTTACAGAAATTTCACCGGTGCTTCCCACCAGGCAAGTTTGGGAAATCCAGTCTAAATAAAGCTAGCGGCGAGAATTATCTAGTTGAGCGTCGCCTTACTTCTAAAGTAAGACTGAAGGAAGAGAAATTGGTCTTCGGGGATTCTTATTCTGAAGCCTTCTTCAATTTACGGACTGATTTCCCTCTAGAAACGTCCTGCCAATTAACTAACAGCAGCAAATATAATTTGCTAACGCTTGGACTCTTGGCAAACTGATTACAATTATCTTGAAAGTGCTCTTTTTTTTTAAATATAGAAAATACATTTTATTGTGCCTGAGCTGTTTAAAATTGTGAGGTCTACTTGTTACAGCAATTAGCAATGCTATTTCAAAATATATGAACATTATGTGCTCCCCCCCCAAAAACCTAAATATTTTTCTTTCTGTAAGAGCATCTCCAAAATTTAGGATGGTGTTAAAAACAAAACCGCAGGCCCCAGATGGAGACAATCAAGTCAGAATCTCTGGGGGTGGGGCCCAGGTATCTATTTTTTCTAAAGCTCTTGGGGTTGTTTCCAAGGCTGTGTGAGCGCTTTTCCCAAAGGTTGTACATGTCATTTACACTAGATGGCATCAGAAACCATTCACATGTCACCAACCAAGCCCTAAAGCCCAAGTCCTTAGCGAGATGGACCCATTATTTCACTTCCTTTTATTTTAAAATGAAGTAACACAGAAGATCAGCTATAATTCAGAGTTATGTAACTACTTCCAATATGAACACCAACCTCCACCTGATAAAACAAATATAGATCTATGGTATGTGAAATTATTTTTCTGAATGAATTTTAACTATTTTTAATCACTTTCCCTTGAAAAAAACATTCTAGGCATACACAGGTTAATACACATTGCCATAATAAGTATCTATATGCCAGTCACCCAAGAGATCAAAAATAAACATAGTTGTAATATAGTTGTAATCCCCTGAGCATGCTTCTTTTTTCCCTACTCTGTCTCTCCTATTCAAAAAAGGCTGAATTGATGGGTATGCTCATAAACATAGAATCTCTCTGTGCCAGACACACCGAAAAAATGTAAGCCTGTATCTGGATTTTAAAAGAATCTCTCTTCTCTTTTTATTAACCTGACTTGATTTTTAAAAGAAAAACTTTTGATTGAAGTATAGTTGATGTACAATATTATATGTTACAGGTGTACCATATAGTGATTCACAATTTTTAAAAGTTATGCTCCATTTATAGTTATTATACAATATTGGCTATATTCCCTGTGTTGTACCATAAATCCTTGTAGCTTATTTCATATCTAATAGTTTGTGCCTCTTACTCCCTCTCCCCATATTGCCCCTCCCCCTTCCGTCTCTCCGCTGACAACCACTAGTTTATTCTCTGTATCTGTGAGTCTGCTTCTTTTTTGTCATTTTCACTAGTTTGTTGTATTTTTTTAGATTCCACATGTGATATCATACAGTATTTGTCCTTCTCTGACTTATTTCACTTAGCATAATACCCTCCAAGTCCATCCATGTTGCTGCAAATGGCAAAATTTCATTCTTTTTTATGGCTGAGTAGTATTTCATTGTATATATATACCACAACTTCTTTATTCATTCATCTGTTGGGGGACTCTTAGGCTGCTTTCATAGCTTGGCAATTGTAAATAATGCTGCTATGAACATTGGGGTGCATGTATCTTTTTGAATTAGCATTTCTGTACTTTTCAGGTACACATCCAGGAATAGGATTACTGGATCATATGGTATTCTTAGTTTCTGGAGAAACCTCCATACTGTTTTCCACAGTGACTGCACCAACTTACATTCCCACCAGTGATGTACAAGTGACCTGATTTGATTTGACCCCAACGCCCCAGCTCAGCTCCCAGGGCAACACAGAGATGGCCAGGTCACCCCTAGACCACAGTGCAGGAGAAGGCCCCAGGGCTTGTGGAAGCCACATCTTTTGTGACAGACAACAAAGCACATCTGACCTTTGTTACAGAGAGGGACAGTTTTGTCCCACCTGCCCTTTCCCCAGGCTGTTCATTTTACTCAGATTCTTGCAAAGATGACCAAAGACAAAGGTAGTCAGTGCCTTGCTCTATAGGATTCAGGGAGAACTGTCATACTTCAGCTGGTAAAAGACTGTTCTCCATTATTAGTTCTGAATGATGTGCATTTTAAATTAAATGGGGTCCTTAGGAAAACGTATCTGACATAAAATTCAACTCCTCTGTATTTCCTTACTAGGCTATTTAGCCTCGAAGCCAAGTAAAATCAAAATTTCACTTTAGACATTCTGAGATTATTTTCTTCAGGTGGGGGACTTACGGGAGAGAAGTAGTAAGTGAATTACAATTCCTTAACCAGACAGGAGACTTTCATTTCTTTTATCTTTGCTACTAGAAAGGAGGAAAATGAATCTTAGCAAATATGCTTAATATAAAAGTGATTAAAGATGAATTATAATTTCCTTGTAACTAGGAAAACATAACCCCTTGATTAATTTCTTTCCTGCCTTCCTCTGGGTGGAGCCTGAGGTAGAAGCTTTGTTTTTCTGAGCAGGATTGTGCATGGGACTAAAAGGAGCAGAGGGTGGAGAGAGCCTGGGGGTGAAGGGGTACAAGGAGTGTGCAGAAAGGAAGAGGGAGGCTGAAGAGGCTGGGAGAGCGGTGGAGGTAGGGCTGGACAAAAAGAGATACAAGACCATCTTAGGAAGTGCAACTTTGGGTGAGAGATGTTATAGCGGATTTTTCTGATGTTTTCTAGTATAGTGTAAGTGGAACTTTTTCCTTATCCTCTGCTCGAAACTTTATCCACATTGTTTGGGGATGCTTTTCAGTGGGTTTGGAGTTTTTAAAAAATACGGCAGTACAACCTTGGCCTCAGGGTGTAGAGTGACAGCTGAGTCACTGAGATTGGACCACAATATTTTTTTTAGTTGAAGTACAGTCAATTACAATGTGTCAATCTCTGGTGTACCACACAGTGTCCCAGGCATACGTATACATACATATATTCATTTTCATATTTTTTCATTAAGGTTTATTAAAAGATATTGAACATAGTTCCCTGTGCTATACAAAAGGAACTTAAAAAAATCTATATATAGTGGCTAACATTTGTAAATCTCAAACTCCCAAATTTATCCTCTCCCACCCCCTCTCCCTAGTAACCATAAGATTGTTTACTAAGTCTACAAGTCTGTTTCTATTTTGTAGATGAGTTCATAGTATCCTTTTTTTATTCCCCTATGAGTGATATCATATGGTGTTTTTCTTTCTCTTTCTGGCTTAATTCACTTAAAATGACAATCTCGAGGTCCATCCATGTTGCTGCAAATGGCATTATTTTATCCTTTTTATGGCAGAGTAGTATTCCATTGTATACATATACCACAACTTCTTTATCCAGTCATCTGTCGATGGATTTTGTTTTGTTTTATGGTGTGGAGGTAATTAGGTTTGTTTATTTATTTGTTTATTTTGAGGGGGAGGTAATTAGGTTTATTTATTTACTTAATGGAGGTACTGGGGATTGAACCCAAGACCTCCTGCATGCTAAGGAATAACCAATTGAGCTGTATCCTCCTCCCTACAGTATTAATTTTTGAACCTCTAAAGTATCCTACTGGTTTACCTACACAGTGCTAGGGAAATAGCAGGTCACTGAGCAGACACTCTGGAAAAGACCGCGCAGCCTCCGGCAAAGAAACATGATCTTTGGCAAAATACGAGGGGCTATTGGGGAAATAGTTGTAGGAGAAAGAAGCATCTGGAAGGCCCGCCTTCTGTCCGCAAGCTGCCCTCTGTTGTGGAAAGAATGCCTCCCGCACTAACCAGCACCGTGGGGTTCGTGCTTTCTCGCCTTTCTCATAACCCTGAACACGCTCCGTACAGATCACCAGCTCTTGAAGCTCCCTCTTCTATTAGCTCTGGGACCACCGGCCACATGAGTAGTGAACAACAGTCACTGTTTTGTGTGTGCGCTTGTGGCCTGCAGTGTATTCACACATACGTGCATTCCAGTACTTCATCCTCGGAACCGCTCCCCTGGAGGCAGGAGATGCTTCTCATTCCGGGTGAGCGGGCTGAGCCTCGGGGACGGGAGCGGCTTCTCAGGAGCTCCGAGGTGGAGCCAGGAGAGAAACCACGCGGTCTCTGATGCCAGGCTGGAGCGCCAGGCGACAAGGACCGCGGGGCAGGATGTGGATGCTCGGAGGACGGGCAGACAGACAGCAACGGGGTGGCGACCACGCGGAAGCCCCCACTGTGCCCGGAGCTCAGCGGCGCTATGTCAGGCTGCACCACAGTCCAGGGCGGGACAGGGTGGATGACCGGCACAGGGCCACAGGATGGCAAAGCCAGCTGTTGGGCTCCCAAGTAGGTGCCCTTTACGGGGTACCACACTGCATCCAAAACAAGCTTTGCCTCCCATCTGGATGCTGAGGGCGGGCCCTGCCTTGGTCCTCCCTCCACAGCCCCCTCTGTTGGGCAGGACCTAGGATGGTCTTGGCCGCAGCTCGGGCCCCTGGAGGCCCACCCGCCTCGGATTGGCT